AACAGCAAGAGTGTCAAAACAGGCCCTGAAAGGAGCTGGAAGCTGACCGACCAGCCAAGGAAAACGAGTCTGTTTAAAAACCCAGCCCTTTGTCTTTTGGGAAACCTGCCAGCAGCGTCTCTGACTGTGCAACCAGGGGGGGGAGGGCTTCCCCTCCCTCCCAACTCCCCCATGTCACAGTCCACCCCACTGCTGCTTATTAGGCAAAAGTCCTCACTTCATGATCCATTTTCAGAACATAACCTGCCACGAATCATTTCCCTGCCTAGAACCTCATTAAGGGCAAGAACAGCCCTGCAGGGTGTGTGTGTGTCTCTCTCTCTCTCTGTGTGTGTGGATACTGTGGAGGAGACACCACCCCATTGAGGGCTTAAGCTGGGGATAAAACCTGTGACAAGAAAGACAGGATGGGAGGGGGGTGTCTGTAAGGTTTGGCTCAACCCAAAAGGGTTCAAGAAAGACCCTAACCCTTTCTCTCTCTCTCTCTAACAAGGACGGAGAAATGAAGACTTTGGATAACAAATTCCAGAATCCTCCACCAGTGTAGCCCATGGGCATTGTAGTCCAAAATATAACTTTCGCAAGCGCCGGCCTCTCTTTCTACCCATGGCCTGCACTGCAGAGTTTGGGGGGAAAAGGAGGGCCTTTTTATGCAGGGGTATCCCTTCCTCCTTTCCCAGACACACGGTTTCAAAAGTGAAATATGTCAACGATCAAGCAAGGTTGCATGTCCAGTTCTATGGAAGGGCATAAACAAGCCCTCGTGCTTGTGAGACACACACACACACCCCGTGGAGAGTTTACAACCTTTGTCCGTGTTTCACAAGCAGGGTGGGCTCCTCTGTTTTTCACAGACAGCACCCAAGGCAGAAATGGGGGGGGGGGAAGGGAGGGAAAACAGTCCTCAGTTTTTTAAAAAAACTACCATGAATATCTTCATCGTGAAGGAGTTAAAATGAGACAGACCGGCTGTCATTCAGGAACCCCAAGGAGAACACGAGGCTTCTCTGCTCTCACGCGGCAACCCGCTGGATTGCTTTTAACTTCGCCTTATGCCAGCCTTTCTGAGTTGGTTGCCCTCATGATGCATTCAGGTACTATTCTGCCCAGCCAACGTGGCCAGGAGACATGGGAGTTGTAGTCCCGCACGGTGAGGATGTTCACCAGGCCAAGGGAACACGCCCCCCCCTGCTCCTTGTAAAAGGAGCGGAGGGGAGAGAGTGGTCCCTGAACAAAGTTGGCCAGGATGCGTGGTACCCCCCAAACAAACCAGGGCCGGCCGAGCTGGCCTTCCTTCCTCCTGGGCCTGAGCGCCGGGGGGGGCGCTCTGCCCGCCAGCTCCCTCTTGGTTGCCAAGGATCCAGCATCGCCGCGCGTCGAGTCTGGGAGTTGCTGACGAGCCGGCCACTCGGCAGGACCAAAATTACAAAATTAAACAAACACGGTGACTCATGTCACCATCCGTTATTCATGCCTGCCTTGAATAATTCATCGGGGAGCCTCCATCTCGAAGCGTAGCAGCCGGCTGATTTTTCCACTCCGCGGCGCAGAATCCGCTCAGGTCGGCCAAAGGCCCTTTGCCACAAACCTGGCCGTGGGGCCCGAGACCCTCGCAGAAAGAAGCAGCCCACCCCCCACCCCTACTTCTCTGTGTGGACAGAGAGAGGAAGCCATGGCAGTTCCCGCCGTGAGCGCCACGTGCAGCAGAGAGCAACTCCTCGTGTGCAATTGCCCATGAAAGGCCAAGCGAGAGAGGAGACGGCCACTGGCCCAGCTGCCACCCAAAAAACCACTGAGCCGAACCAAAGCAGCGCCACTTGCTCCTCGTGGCATCCAGCTGGGTCCCGACCACTTGGCAGCCACCCAGAGGAGAAGGCGTCTCGCTTCTGCTGCAAAATTCTCACTGGGCAGCCGTGAGGACGTCTCCGTGTCCCTTTCCTCAGGGTAGGAATCATGGGGGGGAGGGGGGGCGGCTGGGAGACAGAACTGGCCTGCATTGCAGGGTTGGGGTAAAGGCTGGGTCACCTTCCGACTCCGCCATTCATCCAGGGAGCACTGAAAGTGCCTGGGAGGGGCAGGGAAGGTTGACCGAGGAGCTGTCCTTGGTCCTGAAATGGGTGCCTGGCTTCAGTTTAGACAGGATGATGAGGGTGATCTATTTCCATCACTGTCCTGCCTCCAGTGAGACCAGAGCAGCATAGAAGGTTCTCCTCCTCATGTTATCATGACAACCAGCACCCCTGAGAGGTAGACCAGGCTGAGAGAGAGAGAGAGAGAGAGAGAAAGAGAGAGAGAGAACGAGACTGGCGAGGCAGGCCACCAACTTTGAAGGCCGCAGCCTGAGTCCCGTCTGTTGTTTATCTCTGGTTCCTCAGAGGTAGACCACATCTGGACAAGGAAGCTCTCTTTTTTTGTTGCCAACAAGGGGCCTTTCTGCTCCTTCTAGGAAGGCAGTCCCTCCGTCAAAGGGGTGGATATTCTCATACCTTGTGGTGGTGAGTTCCACAGGTTAGTTCTGTGTTGTATGAAGGAGGACAGTGTCTGGATGCTCCTTTAAGAGCAGAACACTTCGCCACTGATTCTTGGATGCAATGTGATGACAGGGGGAGAAAAAACACTGATCTTCCTTGACTATGTCCTCTCTACACCATGTCTCTCACAGCTAGGCTCACTTGCCGGAGTCATGCACCCAACAGCCTGGCTCCACATGTGCCATGGTAGACGCAGGGAACACACACACACACACACACACGAGATACAGAAACAAACACACACATACACACACACACCCTTTCCTTATCAGCCTCATCCTAAGCATGTTTTTTTCCTGGTTCAGCACCTCCAAGAAAGGAAGCTCAAGGAGCCGGGGGTGGGCAGGGGGATGTTTCACGGGCCACGTGTGGGCACGGAGGGGCATTTTTAGGAACAACACAGACATCCCACAGCACCCCTAAAAACCAAGCCACTAAATTACGTAGCAACCAGCAAGGGAAATAAAAGAGAAATTAGGCTGCTTTAAAAAAGCAAACAGCCTGAAGCAGGTTGCACCTCCACCTCCACCACCACCCCCCACTTTAAAACAGGCCAGGGTTTACTTGGAGCACGTTTTCCCCCACCTGCTGCTCCATTTTGGCAGGAAACCCAGGGATGGGCTTAAAAAGCAAGCAAAGGAGGAAGCCCTGAGACAGACGGACGGCCCACAACCGCCAGGCTGGGTTTGGCACGCCTGCCGCGCCATGCCGTGCGTGGGTCCCTCTGGGTGGCCCTCAGTAGGGGATGGGGCCAAGGCAGCCCCCCAGAAACCCACCCACTGATGTTGTTGGGGGGGGGACTCATGACATACAGTACATGGGGGAGACCCTGAAAAAGGCCACAGACTGGGGGTGGGACTTCTCTCCATCTTCTGAAGCTGAGTACTTCCCCCCTCCCTCTGCACATGACTTGGCCCGCTCACTCGAGCCGCCTGCACTGGATGCACATTCCACCGTAGCAGCTGAGACTGCGTAGGTGCTAGTTAAAATCCCTGGGGAACAATGACCTGCTGATGTCTCCATGGGGTAAAAGAGGTGGGCGGGATTCGGGGGGGGCAACAAAGAGCTTTTTGGGGCCCCCCCGACATGACCATCTTCTAACATAAACAACGCTCCTTTCAGAACTGCGCCAGGCAAGGAGCCAGGAAGGCCACTGAGCAGCTCCCATTGTTTTCTCCGACTGGTCCGGGGTGTGTGTGTGGAAGGACATACATGCCTGCCTGAGGGTCAGAAGCCCCCAGAGTCATGTGATGCTGAAGGCGGGGGGGGGATCAGTTCTGGGACCAGGACTGGCAACAGAAACCTCTTTTTAGCCCCCTCTGCCCACGCGTGTGTGTAGCTGCCCGAGCAGTCAGAAACCACAGCACGACTAAGACTGTGAATGGGGGGAGCGAGGGGGGACAGTACACCTTTCAGGGGTCAGCCACTGGTCCAGACAGGGGCAACAGGGGTGGGGGGGCAGGGGGAGGCAGTGGATGGAAAGACCAGGCTTCCTGCCTCAAACACACACAGCAAACACAAAAGATAAACCCGGGTGGCTTGTGCCATCAACACAACAGCCCAAGGCATAGCACCCTCTGCCCCCCCCCCAGAAATCCCAGAAAAACAGCAAACAGTCCTGTGTTACCCTGAAGACTACGAGACTGACTGCCCTCTCTCTCTCTCTTTCTTTCTCTCTCTCTCTCTAAAACAATGTGGGGGGGGGGGGCTACAGAGAGGGCCCCTGAGAACAAACTTAAACACAGGAGTCTGAGGAGGAACAATTATGTTCACATAAACATTCAAGAAAAAGTCAATTTCATTCAGAGGGGCGCTTTCTGGTGGGCGAAGGGGTTTTCCCCCTTGGCGGCAGAGGAAGGAGATCGGATGGGCCTTTTATTTCCCTCTTTTAAACTGTGCTGTTCATCAATGTCGTTCTTCTGTCGAGGCTTGAATCGGGATTTTGTTTAAAACTTCATCTTAAGAGGGCCGCTTCCCACAGGAAGGTGGGAATTAAAATAAATTAAAATCAATTAAAATATAAAACTACACACACATGGCCTTCTTTTTCCTGCTCTCTCCCCACCAGGGTCACAGAAAAAAAAAGAGGTGCCTTTCAGTCCCACCTGCTTGGCCAATACACACACACACACACACACACACAGAGAGAGAGAGAGAGAGAGAGAGAGAGAGAGAGAGAGAGAGAAAGCTGATGCAAAAGTTACTTTTTTCTTTTAAAAAAAAGAGCCCAAAGATGCTGGGCAATTCATTCCAGGGATCCCGACTCTCCTGAAAGTTGTTTTTCCAGACTCTTCCTCTGGAGGGCCGAACCCTCTCTTTTCCACAGATCACCTCCCACCTTGTAAGAAGTGCAAGCACTCCCACCCCCAACCAAAAACTGGGAAAAGTTACCCCCTCCTGCCTGGACTGCCCCCTCCCCACCCAGGGAAGCCTGCTTTTTGATAAGAGACGGGGAGAGCTCATACTCACCAGCGCTGGTTCCAGGGGTAGACGGTTGTCTTGTCCACCCTGCAGGAAGAAAAAGCAACACAAATAATCAGGAGGAGGAAGATGAATGATCAGTCAAAAATAAGGGACACTGGGGGAGGGGGAGAGATAAGGAGCAAACTCCTCCCTCTTCCAAACAGGGACCCCCCCCATGCTTCCTCCCCCTGCCTGTTGTTGACGCAGCTCTGTGTCCACAGATCTTTCCAAGCCTCACCACTCTTCCTGCCCTGATATGCCATCTCCCCCCCTGTTGATGCCTCCCCCTTCCCCATTAAACTGCACCCCCCAGGCTCCATGCGGGCGAAAGAGGAGCTGGCGAAAATCAAGGCTTGTTTTGCTCCCGCAGTGCAGCCCAAAACCTGTCTGGCCGGCCTAGGAACCGGTTGCGGTGTTTGGAGTTTAAACCCGGAGGATGGATGACCTGAAAGGCCCACAGAGCAGATCCCGCCCCCCCCCCCCCTGCGGGGGCCAGGGTCCAACACACACACACACACACACATATGGCAAGCCAGCAAAGGGCCCTGGCCAGCACTCTCCTCCTGCCATATCAGACTAGAGGTCCCATCGTCCCCGGTCCATGATATGAGATGGGCACAAAGGGTCCAAAGGAGGGGGCTTCAGCTGGGGGGAGCCCTCTTCCCCTTCTCCTAACGTACCGTTATCCCCACTTCCCTTGTGCCCCTCGTGACGCACCACCCATCCCATCCGGCTGCCGAGAAATCCGCCTCGCAAGCGGAGGGCACAAAACCACCCTGGCAAACCACTCGGGTCTATCGGAGGCGTCCGTGGTTGCACGAGCAAATTCTGGCCCTCCCGATATTTGGCTGCCAAAAAGACCAGCCAGCCCACAAGGCCTATGGCAAGGGATGATGGAAACCGGAGTACAAAACAGAGATGGCCAAACAGGACGACAGAGGTGCCCTCTGATGCATGGGGAAGAGAAGAAAAGGTCTCTCACACCCACCCACACCCTCTCGGCCCTTTCCTTCACTATGGATGAGCTCCCAGGAAGAAGAAGGGCCACGAGGGGTGGGGAGAGGAAGGGGGCAAGACCCCCCCACCCCCGGAAGCCTCAACCAGGTTTTCAGGCCAAAGAGGCTCTCTTGGCTGTGAGGCCCTCCTTCTCCCCCCCTCTTGCCCCGCAAACAACCCCCCCCTGCATCGCCCGCCTGGTGCCAGGCACTCCTCGGCTCAGACCCTAATTGAATTACTCTAAACAAGCCTCTCTGCTGAGCGGAGGAGGAGAGGCGGCGGTCGAGCCTGGAAGCGGCTCACAGCTGCTCCGAAGGGGCTCCCGATCCTGACCCCAAAAAAGATGCATCAGAGGGAGGGAGGGAGGGGTGGCATTTGGCCCCGTGGAATTTTCTAGACTGTCCCCCCCCCCACATGCACATACAAAGAGAGAGAGAGAGAAATGGCCACCAGCCATGCCTCTGTCCCTGGAAGACAAAGCCACCAAGGGTGGCTGAGAAGCAAAGATAATGCTTGTCTCTCATGCCAGAGCGCCCCCCCCCCCGCAGACACCAGAACTTAAGAAAAGCAGCCGGGGGGGGGCTCTACGTGCTTCCTTTGGGGGGGGAGCTGCAACCACCCCCAGCCCTTCCCTGCTTCTTAGCACAGCCAACATCCTCTCTCACACTCTTCCTTTTGAAAGCAAGTTTCTAGATCTCATGATCGCCACAGCACGGACGATGCCCCACCCACTGCCCAGAGGAGTCTGGGGAAGAGGGAGTGAAAGGGTGGGGGGGGTGGTGGAAGGCTTGAAAAGAGTCCCTTGGCCCAACTCTGTGCCATGAAAGGAGGAGGGTAAATAGGAGGCCACCACAAGGCACTGGCTCTGCTTGAGGCCAGATGCAGCCCCAGGAGGTATTCTGGCTCAGTTCTGCAGCCATCTGCAAACAAGCAAGGCAGGGAGACCCCGTGATTGGAACCGCACGTGCAAAGGGTCCAGGGGCTTCCCTGGGAAACCAGCAGCTCTCCTTACAGGTTGGCTGGCCCTGCTCAAAGCACCATGGGTTTTCATTTCGTTTTGCCTTGGCCTTTGCTAAGCAGCCGCTGGAAAGCTCCCCCAACCCTCTATGCCAAGACCCCTGGTTCTGCCTGCGGGGCTCGCCAGCCGTGTCGCTGAGCTGCGTAGGCCTTCGTTCTGAGCTTGGCAACCGCCGGGAGGTTGCAACCTCCTCCCACCCGGAAAACACCCCCAGGCGCAGCACAAAGGTCAGAGGAACAGCAGCCCTCTTGTCCTTGGGGGTGGGAGGTTTGAGGTGGGGAGCTGCAGTGGCAAGCATTCCTGTGGGGAAACGAAGGGGTGATGGGGTGGGGGCAACAGGGGGGGCCCTTGTCAGTGGGTGGGGGTTTCCAGGAGCTGAGGCTGTGGGCAGGAATGTGCGGGTGCGGGTGCCATATCCCAGGAAAAAAACTTGCTTCTTCGGAGGGGATATTGGGGATGGGGGGGCGTTTTGTGGGCTCCCTTTTGCTCTGCTTTGGAAGGTCTCCCTGGGGGTGCTTTAAGGTTGTGCTTGCCTTTCCTAGGAGCCTTTTGTTTGATGGCCTTTTGACACAAGGGCTTCCTTTTAACAGAAGCTGCTGGGAGCCCTCACCTGGGAGGCAGGCAGGCAGGAGGTAAGAGAAAAGGACCCAGAACTGAAACGAGAGGGCTAAGCAGAGAAGGAGGATGGAAGCGGTAGTCCGGCAGTCCCTGTGAGTGGGTGAGCGGTCACCGGCCAGTGACACTTTCTCCGCCTTGAGCTACCTCACAGGGCTGTTGGTGAGGATGACAAGGCAAGGGAAGGAGACGGGCCCTTCAGCTCCTCAGAGGGAGGGCAGAGGAGAAGCAGAAGCCATCAGTTTTAAGAGGGAGTGATCAGGCTGGGGAGCGGAAGAAGCCCCATAGGATGCAAGGTCACACCCAAGGAGTCGGGAGGTGGCTGAGGGGGGGGGGAGAGAGAGAGAGGGAAGGAGGAGAGCTACCCTTGTGCGCACCCACACTTCTTTCATGCACCCCTCACACAACGAAGCGCCCTGCCTCATTTTCATTCACTCCAAACCTTTTTACAATTAAGTAGTTCCTGCAGGTTTGTTAATGATGTTTAAGGAGTAAACGGCCCTCATTTCATTGCTTGGGTGATTTCGGCGTAACTTGCACCGATTCCTACTTTTTTGGTTATTTCCGTTGCCAGTTTTTTAAGGCACTTGAGGACCAATAAGAAAAGGGGACTTCCCACCACCTAGCCAAAATGCCCTTTTAAATTAAGTTCACCTAGGAAAGACTAAGCATTCTGCCCAACCTCCATAAAAACAACAGCTTCCGTTTCATCACAATATTTCTCAAAGGAAACTTCACTACCCCCTCGTCACCCACTCTTCTACACAAACCAACTCGTTATGGGCAACTATCCTGCCAGTAACCGGGACTGGTCCTTCCTACCCGTCCTGGGCAGACGGATAAAGACAACCGGGGTGTTAGGAAAAGGCAGAAGACCCGCTGCCGCGAGAGGCACCATTTGCTGGCCTGCCTCGGGCACCCAAAGGCCTTGGGCGGCCCAGCCAGCCACTCCCTCCCTCACCAACCGCTGGATCTTGGCCTCAAGGGGGTCCCCCCCCAAACCCCTGTTTTCACAGCCAGGATCTCACCCTCCGTAGGCCCCAAAGGTGAAGCTGCGCTTCCGGGAGCCCATCTCGGTGGGGCTGCTTGGAGGCCTCCGTCGCGTCTCCCTCTCCCTGGCGCTGCGGAGCAAAGATCTCTGGGGAGAGCGGGCCGAGGGCCGCAGAGCGAGGAGGGAAGGAGGGGCCCCCTGGCCGTCCCACCCCCTTCCTGCCCCTCCATCCGCCTGCCTCTCCAACCCAAACCTGTCCGGCGTGCTCTGCTCCGGTCTGTGCTGCCGGCGTGCTCCGGAAAGCCCCAAAGGGCCTTCCCGCAGCTCCCAGCAACCGGGCCGCACTCCTCTCCCTCCTCCCATCGTGTCCCTGCGTGTCTGTCAGGAAGCTCAGGGGAAGGGCTGCTCTCTCCGGGCAAAAAAACGACAAGACGGCCTTCGGTGGCGCAGGCTGTCCGAGGAGGGGGCTTGGGGTGGCTCTTGCCCTCCTCCTTGGAGGGGGTCAGGGTGGGTCCCACACGAATTGCGTGGGAATCCGGCTCTCAAGGCAACAGCACCCCTCACCCCTCTGCAGGGCCACGGGGAGGATCCAGACACAGAAGCACCCCTGGATTGATTCATTTCTTTTTCCAGGAAGAGGACGGAGCGTGCAAACTGGGGGAGCTAAAAAGCAAGGAAGATATTTGAAGACAAACAGACAAACAAGAAAGGGAGAGGCTCTCAGGCCGCCACAAAACAGACCACTGTATCCAACTAGCACTGGAAAGACCTGGGTTTGAATTCGCCTCCTCGTCACGAGCCTCACAGGGTGAATATTGGCCTCCTCTTAGCCACAGGTTTCCTCTGAGGGTAAAGCTAGGGAGCCCTTCATTCCTGGTAATAAAATCACAACCAAAAGACAAAATCACTATCCTTTCATGGCAGTCAAAATGAGCACCCTGAGTTGCCTGACTCACACTCACTCGCTCACTCGCTCTCTCTCTCTCTCACACACACACACACACACACACACAGAAAGAGAGAGAGACCAGGGCCAGGTGCCCACCAGACTAAGAGGGACTACGCTCCCTCAAACAGTGAGATTGTGTTTTACATATCTCTCCATGTCCTTTCTGTCACATTTATGAAGAAATTCGCACCTTTGCAAAATTCTTGCCAAAGCTGGAAAAACATACTTAGCATGCTTTGCACCAGCCCCAGTTCAACAGGTGCAGCCCTTCTGAGCATGGAGAAGACCCTGTCGCCCCTGCCACCTCCTGCCTTTTAAAAGATACGGGGCGAAGGCGAAACAAGCCAACTTCGTAGCAAGAAATAGCGAAAGCTTTCAGAGGCCCAGAGTCACAGAATCAGCCACGTCTACCAAGGTCCTTTTGTACTAGGTATGAATTTCTTCCACTACATGTTCTTTCTGCAAAATCTACCCAATGAAACTCTCCCAGAACATCCGGCTGGCCAGCGGTCGGAAAGCGCCCCCTACTGGACACAGCTCCGCACTAATCCGCACAGGAAAGCTGAGGACGGGGTGGGGGGGGAGCCTCCCAACCGATCAGCACCATGGACAGCAAGTGTGGCCGCTGGGAGAGGCTCCTCTTCCCTCCTCCTGTAGCTGCTGCTTCTCACCCAGAGCAAAGAGGTTGAGAAGGTTCCCTGTTTGGACTACAAGTTCCAGTATCCCCTCCAGGCATTAGGGAGTTTGGGGAGTCGGGAGAGGTTAATGCAAAAGATCTATAAACCTCATCAGCTTTCTGTGGAGCCTGGGGTGTACAGGTGGTGTTGGAGTCTAAAAAAGTTGCCTTTTTCATGCTCTCCATGTGGCCTGGGGGATTCTGGGTGGTGTAGTCTTTAAAAAGTAGCCCTGTCTACCTTTCCGTGCAGGCTGGTGGATACTGGAAGTTATAGTATCCAAGGAGGATCTTTCCCCAGCTTGGAATAAGAGAGTGAGGTATCTCACAATATCCCGAATGCAAGAGACACACAAACACACACACACACATATGTACCCAGCTGCTTCCCAGAGCTTTTGCTAAATATTCTGCACAACACTCTCCTCTGCTCAACAGCCAAAAAACCCC